ATCGCCTGGAGCCATAAGATAAAATATATATTTTTAAAGACAGGGTAAAAAAAAAATTAGGGGAAAAAAAAAGACAAGGTCTACAGGGTTTCACTATGTAGATTAGACTTGTAGTGATTTTCCTGTTTTCGGCCTCCCAAACGCTGGGATTACAGGCTCACACCACCACACCTAAACCCTGGGGGCAAGTCTCATGCCAAACTAAGATCCCTGTGCGACTGCCTAATCTTGCCTAAACTTGTACAGCACGTGCTTTAGACTGCTGAGCCACCTCGCCAGCCCATAATTACATTCACATGAGCATGTTAAAGCACAAAAACATTCTGTGGCTCTGTTAAATTCTATATTTAAAGAAAATCACCTAGTTACCCTATACTTTCAAATTTTTAAGCACTTACAACTTTTATATAATTAATGCGAACCACAAGAATCCAAAGATTAAACAGCAGCACTGATTTCTGATAGGAAAAACTAAAAGGGAAAATAAACAATGGTTTTTTTTGCATTCTACCTGGGCAGCTGAATATGAATTTGTTCTTAAATATTCAAACTTCAAGTTCGTCAACATACCAGGGATTCTCCTGTTAGAGACTTGGCAAGAATGGTGGACACAGGTTGGAGCTTTCCATTCAGCTGCATGCAGCAAAGCATGGCCCGAAAGGCGCCATCATCCTTGGCCAGTCCTTCCCCCAGCACTGCCACGAAAGAACAGCCATCATTAACTAGCTGGCATTCAACTGCCACCCTTCTCGATCACAATAGCAATACATCATCAGAAGCATCAGCTCTCATGTGCTTGAAGAATAACTTCAAAAACAAGAGAAAAGCAGGAGTGTTTCAGTTCTGTCCACGACATGCACATAAGGATAAGGACAAGAACATGAAAGTGAACACATCAAGCCTACTACAACATACAGCCAGTTAGGACTGATTGTAGCAACACCACAGACAGAACTAATCTTTCAGCTCTCCAGTGTGCAGTTACATAGAAGAAAAAACTCATGTTCTATATATAGCACTTTGGGTAACTTCGGTAATAATTAACTATATATTTTGAGGTAGCTAGTAAAGAAGATTTTAAATGTTTCCAACACAAAAAAATGATAAATATCTAGGGTAATAGACATTTACCATGCCAATTACCCTGATCATCATTACATACTGTATACATGTCTTGAAATATACTATAACTCACAAATATACTCAATTATTATGTGTCAACTAAAAGGAAAAAATTTGGGGCCAGAGAGATAGCTCAGTAGACTAAGCGCTTGCCTGGCAAGCTCAAGGGCCTAAGTTCAATCCCTGGTTCCGTCAAAAAAAAAAATTAGAAAAGAGTGTACTTTAGGGGCCAGGAACTTGGCTCAGTAAAATAAGTGCTTCCCTGGCAAGCACAAGGGCCTGAGTTCAATCCCTGGTTCCACAAAAAAAGGAAAAAACTTAAGAGGTTAAATTGTTTTAAGACTTTAGCCAAAAAAAAAAAAAAAAAATTAAGGTCAGGGATATAGCTCAGCAACAGCACCTGCCTGGCAAACACAAGGTCATGAGTTCAATTTCCTGTGCAAAAAAAAATTTAAGGCTCTACCCTAATAGTGATGTGCACCTGGAGTCCTAACTGGAGGATAACTTGAGTCCACAAGCCTGAGACTAGCCCTGGGCAACATAGTGAAACCCTATCTAGGAAAAGAGGGTGTCTTAGTGAAAAACACTGTCTAACCTGTGATTTTGGACTGAAGGCTTTTAAAATTACAGAATTAGCTAAATAAAATTCTCACATTTTTGTCAGTAATGTAAAACCCTTTCCTAGTAAAATGCATAAAAATTGAAGTTGCAAAACTCACCACAGATATTCCTAACAACTAAACTTTAGCCGCTCTCAAAACCAGCATAATTAAGAATCTAACTGTCCAATGTCCACAAAAAAAAATACTAGCCAGCTTGCTGGTAAGCCTTTGTAGATTTACTTTAATACAAGCACAAAGATCATATGTTTTTACAACATAAGAAATACTCTTTTTTTGGTACCAGGAATCGAACTCAGGACTTCACACTTCCCAGGCAGGCACTGTGCCACTGAGCTAGATATACTCATTTTTATGCCATGGCATTTCAGAATATTTATCATAGTGACTGCCAATGGTTCAATAGCAATTTATAGCCTCTTTACTGGTAAAGTCAAGATTCTATTATTATTTTATACTAAGTTAGATTCCTTTGCAAGAAAGTAATTTGCTGAAAGAACATACTTTGGAAATTGTACTCTGAAAACATTATTTCAAAAATAAATAAATAAATAAAATATTATTTCCAAAATAATGTACTGTTTAAGTATACTATGCTGTATATAAAATCCATGGGATCTGTTCATCATAATTTATTTTGGTTATGCTGAGTACAAT